TCCTGGGAGACAGTACAAAACAAGATGGAGACCAGGGCTATCAAGTGAATGAGGTGGAAGGCTGTGGGAAATGGGTGGATATAGGCAGATAGGCTGCTTCTTCAACTCTCAAGAGTCCCAGCCCCTCGTTATTTCCCTGTAGCTGAAGTACACTCTTTACTTTTAGCTCTTGCTTTGCTGAGTTGCACAGACCTAGGAAGTTTATCATAGTCACCTCTAAGGGCTGCCAGTGGCTAGGCTGAAGACCCACAAAAACATGGCCCAAATTACAGACCCTGCTCAGCCAGTATCCTCTCACTGGTACAGAGTATTTCACCTTAAAGCCAAGGGTTAGCCTGGAAGTCCACACAAGAGTCATGTAGAGGACCTATGGAGGGGGCATCTGGTGCCTTGCTATTTTTATATTGCTATTTTTGTAAGTGCTAGAATTAAGGCTACAAGGACAAGACTTCCAACAACATCTCCTCCTTAAAACTAAGGCATACCTCCCCTTAAGTCACTGCTTCACAGGAGCCTTCAACATGAAAACCCTCTCTTCCAATAAAGCTCTTTTTGAATACTATGCCACATTTTATTTATTTATTTATTTTGGGATTTATATCCCGCCCTACCCAGTGGCTCAGGGCGGCTAACAGACAGGGTTTAAAAATTTAAAATAATAAATACAATGTTATATACATAATAAAATTTGGTGCTTCAATTCTACATAAAATAACCAAGATGTGCAACAGCCCCCATTGGCGGCCAGTTTTCTTAATAGCATGAGCGCCAGGAGTGATATTTCCCAGATCCGTCAGGCGACATCTACCCCTCCCTCCAGAATACGGTAGATGGATGATAGAGTCATGGTGGTGGAATAGCAGCGGCTCCTACTCAAAGGCCTGGCGGAAGAGCTCCGTCTTACAGGCCCTGCAGAACTGTACAAGGTCCCGCAGGGCCCGGATCTCCTCCGGGAGCTCATTCCACCAGGTAGGAGCCGCCACCGAAAACGCCCTAGATCTGGTGTGGGCCAGCTTCACAACTCGGGGGCCTGGAACTTCAAGGCGGTGGAAATTCCCCGATCGCAGTGCTCTTGAGGGAACATACGGGAAGAGGCAGTCCCTTAGGTAAGCCGGACCCTGGCCATTCAGGGCTTTAAAGGTGAGCACCAGCACTTTGAAGCGAATCCGGTATGCTATTGGCAGCCAGTGCAGCGCTTGCAGCACTGGCCGGATGTGGTCTCGCCTGGAGAGGCCTATCAGCAGCCTAGCTGCAGCATTCTGCACTAGCTGCAGCTTCCGGATTTGCGACAGAGGCAGCCCCAAGTAGAGAGCGTTATAGTAGTCCAGCCTCGAGGTGACCATCGCATGGATCACAGTGGCCAGGTCTTCACAGCCGAGATAGTGGACCAACTGCCGGGCCAGCCGCAGATGGTAAAAGGCTGACTTGGCAGTGGCTGCCACCTGGGCCTCCATCATTAGCGAGGAGTCCAGGAGCACACCCAAACTCCTAACCTCCTGCATGGGTACCAGTGGTACCCCACCGAAGGTCGGGAGAGGGTGCCCCAACTCTCGGCTGGTCCGACACAGGCCCAGGACCTCCGTCTTTGCCGGGTTTAATTTCAACCGACTCAGTCTGAGCCAACCAGCCACGGCCTGCAACGCCTGCGCTAGGTCATCAGGACCAAAGTCTGACTGGCCGCCCAACATCAGATAGAGCTGGGTATCATCAGCATATTGATGACACCCAAGCCCACACCTCCGGGCAATCTGGGCAAGGGGGCGCATGTAGATGTTAAACAAAATCGGGGACAGCACGGCTCCCTGGGGCACTCCACATTCAAGGGGGTGCCTTCGGGACCGCTGGTCTCCCATCACCACCCTCTGTCCCCAACCCTGGAGAAAAGAGGTGAGCCATTGAAGGGCAAGCCCCTGTATCCCCATGTCGGCGAGACGGCGGGTCAGCAACTGGTGGTCGGTCATGTCAAATGCAGCCGACAGATCTAACAGCACCAGTGCCGCCACGCCGCCTCGATCCAGATGCCTACAGAGATCGTCAGTCATCGCGACCAGTACTGTCTCCGTCCCGTGACCGGGGCGGAAATCGGACTGGAAGGGATCGAGGATGAAAGCCTCATCCAGGTAGCCCTGTAACTGTGATGCCACCGCCCTCTCAATGAGTTTGCCTAAATATGGCAAATTGAAAACCAGCCAGTAGTTGGCTAATTCGGCCGGGTCCAGAGATGGTTTTTTCAAGAAAGGATGGGCCATCGCTTCCTTGAGTGTTCCAGGGAACCGTCCCTCGGTGAGGGACTTGTTAACAATCTCCCGTAGAGTGCCTCGCACTCTACACATTTGTACTTTAGCTACAAATTCTTCCACCCCAGGAAGGGTGACATTAATGATCACACTCCCTAGGTTGTTAGGTGTGGTGTACTTGATTTATTCACCAGCAGCAACTTATTGCCTTTCCTTCTATCCTAGCCTTTCAAGCTCACCATGTCTGTTAGGGAGACTTTAAGATGCATGTGGGGGATAGGTTTTGCAACTGAACATGCTCCCGCATCTTTAAGGGCTGCTTGACACTAATTTAACAGGTAAATGTACCACATCTCTATGGCACATGCTTTCCCCTGCTTAACTGTTAATTCATAGGGCCATTAAAAAGAGTTAACAGTGCTAAATTATGGACAAAATGCTACCTCCCCATGACTTCCTGAAAGGAATGGCATGATCCGTGTCCCAGGAACTGCAGTCCAGCGTTATGAAATAAACCTATGTCTGCAAAGCAACTCTTTCACAAACTCCATAGATTACTAAGTCTTCATATGGGCTGTAGCATGATAAAGCAACCCCATTTCCTGAAATATCTGTTTTGTATCCAGATCTGGACAGCAGGTTGGGGATGCATCTGATTTTATTGGGAACTGTCAAGATGTCTGAGGAAACCCAGATATTGAAGTCAAAAGGGTAATTCCAAGTGGGGCCCATATTCCCCGCCCTTAGCTCATCCCAGCATTTCAGGTAGGAGACTGGTGAGGGATAGAACAAAATATCCTAATTTGGGGGAGGAGCACAGTCTGGCATATTTATGAGCCAGATGGGATTTGAACAAGAAACAACTATGAGCTGAAATCACTTTAAAATATCAGAGCTGATGCAGACATAGCAATATCCAAAACTGCTCATGTGATGTGTGGATACACAGACCACAGCATCTCCTTCTAGGATTGGAAAATGTAACTCCAGCGGAGGAAAAAAAAATTAAAATGCCATTTCCCCTTAATGTTATTGTAGGAGTCCCCACTTCAGATACACTCTTTTTCACTAACAGTGCCATCCTAAGCTTATTGCCTATAATTCATTCCCTTTGCCATGGAGCCAAGGGCTACACATAGGCTTACCATTTACAACTCCCCAGCCTAAATTTCCTATCCCAGACGAATGGGAGAAAAATGTCTCCACGCAGTGATACTCTAGGGGAGGCAGTCAAGAGCATCATCTGGCAGTGACATCACATCTTCTCAAACTCCACCCACCACAGGCACTGCCCCCCTAATCTCCTGGCATTTGTGCAGGCTGTGTTGGGAGCCATAGCTATACACAGAAGAATGACAGGCAAAGTACTGGCTTAACCACAGCCCTGTATTTGTTTCATTCACTTATTCTGCTCCTTAAAAGTGCCAATCACCAAGTCTATAGGATCACAAATAAGAGGATCACTATAAAATTTGTTCTAGATGCCCACCACCAGAGTAGGGTGGTATAGCTCTGCTGTAGAAAGGCCTTGTCAGACTACATAAAGCAAAAGGTTAAACGTTTATGTCAACATGGATCTTCAACTGGATTAGTCCCAAACAATCTGTTTCTCAAAAAGTGGGTTCTACCTCACAAAAGCTTCGGCAATTCAGTGCTGGGAAGTTTCATAGTACTATTCATTGTTTTGGCTGTGATTGAGTAACATGGCTAGCCTATTGGAGGCTGTCCATGGATCAACAGCTATCCTACAAAAAAATGATGCATTCTACAGAAGCCACACACCCCCTCCCATTGAAAGATGAAGTTTCTTCATATTCTGCTATAGGTCGGTCCACTTACCTGCAAGACAGCCTTAAGGAGCTCTTGAGAGGCAGCAGGTAGGGTAGCAGACAATGAGACAACAAGGTACATGACAATAAAGCAGACTTTATTGGAAGTGCCAGGGACCACAACAATCAAAGCCTTCCCAGAGAGCATGGGGTCTATGTGCGTGCTACTAGACAACGGCTCAGCTAACAGTTCCTGCAGTGCCATCACCACAAAGGCATCACGGCAATCCTTCTTGGATATGTAGGCCATCACCCCGGATTCCAATCTGCTCACAACAGCTCCTGTTAGTCACCCTTCTATTCAGGGGCACACAACTTTGGGGGAAGGGAGATGCTTGTTAAGTGGTGGGCTAGGCAAAGGCAGGTCAGGTGGCTGCTCACCATGTACTATCCCACTGGGGAGGATGATGGGCTGTGCAAAATGCAGCAGCGGGCAAGAGGCGGCATCATTATTCCAAAGGCTTGCTGTTTGTCATCCAAGTCTGGCACCAGCCATCCTAAGGCGAGAAGTCCCAATTCACTTCCAGGCTCACCGTCCTTCCTTCCGCTCAGTGAGGATGTATTTGAAGAACTCATAAACAGACCAGGCAATGGCTGTGGAGGGCATCTGGTAAATGACGCGGGCCTGAACCCCACGGAAATAAGCCGTCAGCCCACCCACGCGGTACACCGTCCTGAAGGCGTGAGCCATGCCCGTGATGTGCCCACTGATGTTGGTATTCAGTGCCAGGGCCTCCTGGGTGTTCAGCAGCGTTTTGCAAACGTCCAAAGGGGTGGTGGCGGCAGCAGCAATGGCACCTGCGCAGGCACCAGCCACCATATGAGAGCCAGGATGGTATTGTCTGTGGGGATTGAGGTGCTCCTGCAGGGATTCGTATGCCATGAAATGGATGGCCTGGAAGGGGATATTCATGGTCAGCTGAGTCGTGTAGCTTCGGTAAAAAGCTCCTGCCCCTTCGTTGCACCAAACAGCGCGCACACAGTCCGTTACACGCTGGTATGGAGAGTTGTACATCTGCATCCTCTGCTTTACCACTGGGGACAGATGACAGCAGCAGCCCAGCCATGGGGAAAACAGAAAAGGACGGGGGAAGATAATGAGTACAGGGATCTGAGAATGGTGCATATTATACACTCCTACAGAACAGGGGTCCCCAACCTTTATGAACCTGTGAGCACCTTTGGATTTCTGAGACAGGGTCCTGGGCACAACTACAAAATGGCTGCCACAGAAGGCAGAGCCCACCACAAAATGTCAAAACAGTAAGGTTATGCATAACTCTTCATAGTAACTCAACATTTTAGGCAGAAGCTCTGTTTAACAGAATGCCTGTCAAAATGAACGTATGGGCTTAAAATTTTTTTCATGCATACTCACAGCTTATCTTCAGATATGCAGTGAAGATCCTTATGCTGTGGTGGCAGCTGCCGCCAATGAACATTTAAAGAAAAACCCTTACAGACAGTAATAAGATCTCCAGCGGCAAAAGCCCACCTGGACCCACTCACTCCATAAAAGTACTTGGTGAGAGCCAGAAAAGGTGTCACGTGGGCGCCACAGCCTCCAGGGATTGGGGACCTCTGCTATAGACAATTCTCATGTTGCTTGCTGGCTGGAACCCTCAAACGCATGAAGTGGGATGTAATTTACCAATCCAAGAAATTCCACATTACAAGAACATCAATGACCAAGCACAGGAATTCACCACAGGTTCTACCACAACTCAGGAAAAGCCACTGATGCCCCAATCATTGAATTGTGGGAAACTTAAAGAGGTTGTCCAATATGCTTTTTTGCTGCCAGATGCAAGTACAGAACACACCTAGGGAACCAGGTTTTAATGCTGTTCCCATATTTTGAATCAGCCATTTATAGGAGAGTAGGGAAACCAAACCATTCTTCTTGGTCAAGCCTGTTCCACATGGATCCAAGCAATACTCCTAGCCAATAACCTACTAGAAGTAAAATGAGGAAAATGCCCCCTGGTGACAAGAAAGAGTAGAACAAGCTGCAGGAAAGTGGCAGCAGAGTGGGAAAGAAGCAGTGTTACCTTCTGCGGGGTTCATGGCTGCATCATGAAGCAATGTTGCCACACAGCCTGCTGCACCTGCAAGACAAGGACTATTACATGTGAAGGGAAGAGATAAAGAGACCCACTAGGGTCCCAATGAGCCCCCGAATGTGCTGCCAAGGGAGTGGATGCAAGGATTAGAGATCTATGCATCCAAAAAAAGGAGATCATTAAGAAGTAAGCACCTACAGTTAAGAGGAAATAGCAAAAACCATCACTGCTCTACTACAGGCAAAGTATCCCCCTCTTAATCATAGCTTTTACTCGGAAAGATTCTTGTGGTGAGTCTTTCAAGCCTCTCAGGGTCCCCAGACCCCAGATCAGAGAAGTCATGCTTGTTCTGTAGGTAGTTATGACTCCACCTTCCTGCTGTCACATCCAGCAACTTTCAAAGCCTAAGCTGAGTAAAAAAAAAAACCCTACAAAAAACTAGGGCTCCAAACTAAATGCATCTTCTTATTAAGCAGGCTTTCAGTGGAGCATTAGAAGCACGCTATCAACAAAGGGGTGTAAGCACACCAACTAAAGATTGCTGGAGCACATATGACAGCAAACATGGGGGTCCCTACACTTTCAGGCCAAGTTGTTAGAGAAAAGGAAATGTGAAGAATCCTGCTCAGCTCTGGAACTGTCCCGTGGAACAGTACTTCACAGGGATAGTGTTAAGGTCAAACAGAAACACATCCACCCCCTCTTACATCCCACTCACATACACATACACTCACAAACTGATGTGCTGTTTGCCTCACATGGAAATCTCAGCTGCCTGTCCCATCCCATCCCATTTTCATACATATGTGACTCTCAAAACACAACATTAAACTGTCTCACTGATTGTGCTTAGATATTCCTCTGAGCTAAGCTGAAAACAAAAGGACACAAGAGCATCAGTGGGGCATGAACTTCAGAGAGCAGTGGTGTCAAAGCAGCCTAGCATTCAGCTCTACCCATCTCACTTTCAGCCCCAGCTGGCAACACAGGTGGCCCCTGGGAGGGGCAAGGACATAGGAAGGGACAATACCGTTGGCCAAGTGACTATTGCCCCCAGCATGGATAATGTCGGTAAGTGTCTTTTTCAACTTTTCGTAGCAGGCGAAGTATAAGGCATGGGCAGGGCCAGCCCCTGTGGCTGTGATGTTCAGCCCCCGCATGGGCCGCCAGATTCCTTCAGTTCGCATGATCCGCCACAGGCCCTCCAGCACATTCCGGTAGCGAGCTGCAGGTTCGGGTTGCAGGCTCTGCATCCTTGTCTGCCAGAGGAGGAAGGGGAATTGGTTAGACACACTTATCCAAGGACGTCCTCCCCACCGTGGCTCTAACTTCACTTAAAACACCTTTAAGTTGTCTGAGTGCTGAACCACATGCTCTGCCCGCATGCTCAGCAGCGACCTTTGCAGCTGAATTTGGGTCAACGGTTTTCCCACTGGGTGGACAGTAGCACCCACCTAATCCCTTCCATTTCAAGCTTCAGCCAAATTTCTGGAAGCAAGAGTACTCCTTATAACAGACATAAGGGAAACAGGCAGTATTCTTGCCTACCGCTGGCTACAAGCCTCAAGTATCGTTACACATTCCCATATCGGCAGTTCCTTACTGACTTCTGGTGTCCAACTGCAAGGAACAAACGACCTACAGATCCCTCCCAACAGCATAACTCTCTCCCTCCACCCGTTGACATTCGCCCCGGACAACTCTCTGGTCCAGACTAACCGTTTCTTCGCTCAAACCCAATCGAGCCGAACCAGGTCCCAACAGGGAAGAGGGCTCCCCCCAGAGAGAGCTGCCTGGCCCCAGATTCTAGCGGTGTCCCGAGAGCCCCCAGTTCTGCACACCAAGCGCCTCATCACTACCCGACCGTCCGGGCCCCGATCCCCACCGCTCTCTCTCTCTCTCTCGCTCGCACATCTCCCGGCGCTACCGCTTCTCGGCGCCTGTACTCACCTTGACACAGTCCACCGGATACATGAGGCTGTGCTCCATCACCCCAGCCACAGCACCAGCCAACATGTGGGTGGAAACCGCGGAGCCGCGTGGGAGGGCCTCATAGTCCGGCTCCGGGCCGGTCTCGGTACCCGTCCCTGCCCCACCCTCCCCGCCGCCCCCCGGGGACCACGCCCAGCCCGGCCCTCCGCCACCCCCAAGGCGGACCGGCTCCGCCCCGTCACTCTGCCGGGGCCCAGCCGCGCCGCCCGCCCCCAGCTCCATGGCGCCTCCGTCGAGTCCGCTGCGGGCCGCCTACTCGCTCCTACAGCTCCCGCTCTCTTCGCCCCGCCCATGCTAGTCGCTTATTGGTCAGTGTCTAGTTTCGCATCGCCCAAACCCGCCGTTCATTGGTCATCTGAGACTCCGGTTAGCTTGCATTGGATAATGCCAATCTTGTCGCTCGCCTATCCAGAGAACACATTGGGCAACTCTTGTTTGACCTTTCATTCTTCCCTCCTCAGTGGCCTCTATTTCCTCAATAGGTGCTTCAAAGTCCAAAGAAGGCGTGGTCTTATTGGCCATGACGACTGCTACTTAGAATGACAGACTCGGCAGTAAAGGTCCGCGAAGTGTTACTCTGGCGCGTGCGGTTTGTTTGTAGACCCTGGTTGGTTTGTTTTTAGTGATGACGTCGAAGTATATGGCTTTGCATAGAGAGCAAGAGGAACTGGTGGAGGGCTTGGATGGGAAATCACGCTGGTCTTCGAAGTGACGACAGGGCGCCTGCGCCGCTCGGGGCAGATTGGGCAACATTCTGCATGACGTCCTTCAAGAAAGGGGGTCTTTCCGGTGGATTGGTCCAGATGCTGTGACGTGTCAGAGATTACAGAACGATGCCTACCGAAAGTCTCGGTTTCTGTCCTGGGAATTGTGGCATAGCTTCTGGAATGCCGGCGGATTGGCTACCTGGCGGTCGGAGGCGGAGTTGAAACTCCCGGGTTCGATCCACAACGTCAGCTCTAGTGATTCCCCTACTGCCGTTGACGGTTGGGGACGTGGCTGAAGTTTGGGCTTCGAGCGGTGAAGGAGACCGGTGAGGAGTGGCATGTTTAAATTCGTGGTGACAGAGGATGTCCTGGGAGGGAATCGTGGTGCCCATCACTCTGGTGGCGGGTCGGTCTCCTTCCATGCCGAGCCGGGTCTCTTGCTGCCGCATCGAGAGAGAGCCCCACTTAGTCGGCAATCGCTCGCTTCTTTTTCAGGTTCCAGGACTTCATATTTCTAGAGGGCAAAGAGATGCAACTTCCTCCGGGAGACCGCAGAGGAGATTAACCGTGTTTAGGAACTAGGGCAAGCACATGGCCAGGTGAGATCCGGGAATGCAGATCCAACCTCCAAATTATCTGCCTCGTTTCCTTCCTGGTGTTGCAGCCTCTTTACAGGCTAGCCGTGTGTATCTTCTGGGGAGAAGAGGATTGGAAGCAGGCTGCTAATCAACGTCTTGGAGACTTTAATGGAAAATATCCCTTACCTGCAGCTGCTCTGTTGCTCCAGGAAGCTGTTTGTTTGAGCTGTCAAAAATCTTAAAATTGGCTAGTAGCCAGGAAAGCTTAAAAATCAAGTTAGCTGCTCCTTAAATTATATAGCAGAGTAGAATAGTAGTTTCAAAGTCAGGATGGAATATGAATCCATATGTATTGTTTGGATAGTGGTGGAAGAAACACTTCCTTTCTAACAGGGAAAATAGACCATGCACAGTGGTCAGGACAGCACCTTTAAAAAGAAATAGAGTTGTAGTCTACTGCAACGATTATCATAGGTATTGTCTTGCTTTTACTACACTGTTTTGTGTCTCTGTAATTCTATTTTCTGCATTGTTTATAGTATATTTTGCTGCAGGCAGTTTTTGTTTGTTGTGTTTTCCACTTCTGTATCCCTAGCCTTTTTGCATTATTTATTGTTTTATGTATCTGACTGCATTGTTTTAGATTCTGTAATCTGCCTTGAGTCACAGTGAGAATGGTCAACTGTAAATAAAGTAAATCAATAAACACAACAGACAGCAATTCAAAACCAGTAGCAATGTAATACCTTTGACTAACCAAAATAGAGAGGACAAGATTTCAGCTTCCTGAGGACTTCTCATCAGGCTGAATGCTAAGTATGGAAAGGCAGGTAGGAAGAATTCAGGGCATATTGGAAGAACCTGAAAGGCTGCATCTTTCTTAAAGTGAAGATCTGGAAATTTTGTGGACTTGATTAGATTTCATTGTTCTGGGTGAAAATCGGGTTGTGATTTTCTAGGAAGAAGGAAAAGTGAAGTCTCTCTCATTTGAAAAAAAAAAATCAGCAATCCATCAGAAGCAACGTATATGCCCTTATCTGTGCTTGAACTGAGTTCAGTCTGACTTGTTTCCAAATGTGTTTAGGGTTGTTACCAAAGTGACTGACTGGCAAGCTCATATAGTATGGCCCAGATGGCCTGCTGATATGTATGGCTCTGTTTGAAATGGAAGCATTCCTATCATTTGGAATATTCTTGTGGATCCAGAGTGCCCAAATGCTCCTTGTTGTATCCCCAAATGCATACTGTGACTGTGACTTATCGGAAAAAAAGGATTTCTCCTGTTCAAAACTGTGCACAGTGCAGATTTCTTTGCAGGATGTAAGGAGTATCTGAATGTGGGTTTCTCTGGTTATTGTATTGGCAAGGATAGAGGCTGACTGCTAAACTAACAACTCTTATCTTTCTATTCCAGGTTCTGTGTTTCCTGCCTGTGTCCAGCATGTTGGCACTTCACTGTACCTTTAGTGAGTCTTTGTCCCCGTCAGCGCCTAGTACTATTGGCCCTTTTTCTGGGAGCCAGTTTTGTGCTGCTTGCAGCCACTGCAAATCTTTGGCATTGGAGGGCTTTTGGCACTCAGGACAGGCAGTTTGAAAGGTGGGTGAGTAGGATCACTAACTCCATCTTGGGAAATTCTTTAAGATTTCTGGGTGGTGCTTGGGGAGGGGAGGGTTTGGGGAGTCTGTCCTCCAAAGCATCAGGGAAACTGATATATGTAATCTGGAGATCATTTGCAATTCCAGGCTTTACCTGGAAGTTGGCAATCCTAGTCTGGCATGGAACAAACCTTTAGAAACCTGCTAAGGAATGGTATCAACCCTGATTGCAGAGATTGAATTTTCCTGGAAATGGTGGCAAACCATCCAACTGGGCAAGGTTGGTTTTTTTAGGGTTTTTTGCTGGAGTGGGCCAATCACCACAGCTTCTTTGTCAAGAGTACAAGTCCAGAAGCACTGGAAGAGAACTGGCTTCTACTGACTGCATTTAGTGTTAGCAAAGCCTAAGCAATGGGTTGCTTCCGATATAAGTTAGTTTTAGAACATGTAGTAGGAAGTCATTTATTTATTTATTTATCATTCGATTTATATACCGCCCTAACCCCCCCATGGGGGTCATCTTTAGACTCTTGAAATGCACAAAGACTGAAGCTTTAATTATGGGTCAAATGGATTTTGTCTCTGAGAGATGGTCAGCCTCTAGCCCTGCTTGGGTCCCCACTGCGGAGACTGTACTTTTCCTAGGTAGAGGCTGCAAGTGGGGGGGGGATGGAAAGCTGAAGTCAGTGGGGCAGATAACGGTAGTTTGATGGTTAGCTGGGAAGGAGATAGTGTTGCCACCTCCAGGTTGGGAAATTCCTGATTTGAGGGGTGGAGCCTGGAAAGGGTGGGGTTTGAGGAGGGGTGGGACCTCAGACAGGTACAATGCCATAGACTCCCCCCTGCAAACCAGCCATTTCCTCCTGGGGAATCACTGTTGTCAATCTCCAGGTGAGGGCTGGAGATAACTCAGAATTACAACTGCTCTTCAGGTGGCAGAGATCAGTTCCCCTGGAGAAAACAGTGGACTCTGTGTCATTATACCCTGCTGAGGTCACCACAGCAAATTGATGCTGAGTGCCCAAGGCCAGGGCACCTGCTCAGAGCCTCTTTTTAGAGCTCATTGTATTAATTTCCACAATGGGCCTTATTCCTAGTATGTCATATTACCCATTCTACTGGGAGCTGTTTGGTCCTCTTGTTAGGGCAGCACTTCTTTTGTCTTGATCACCTGTTGGGAAGGAGCCTCCTGCACTTGATCCAGGTGGCATGTTCTCACTGGCAGAGGAGGAAAAGGATGGGGGAGGGGGATGCCAAGGTCAAGAGAAGATCAACAAGGGCAAAGACCTTCCCAGTGTGTGTTGGGCGGGGGGGGGCTGACCTGGCTGTTCTTAAGCTGGTGCAATACTGGCTATACGCTGAATTTGTGAATGAGATTTTCCTCTGCAGTGGTAGTTTGTACAGAAGACTTATCTTCCGCAAATCTTCATGGCACTTCCTAACTGGACCTCACCCCCAAGAAAAGATGCTCTTCAACTTCTCATTTGCACACAGCATGGCAAGTCTGTAGCTACAATATATGACTTGTATCCTGCAATGAGTAGCATGTCCTTGGGTGAAGGGTAGCCATATTAGTCTGTTGTAGCAAAATAAACTCAAAGGCCATGGGCACTTGAAAAACTAACAGCATTTATTTCAATATGCGCTTCCATGAGTCACAGCCCAATTCCTTGGATAGGTGAAGGGAAAACACTTTTATGACAATTCACCTCACCCACACCTTTATATAGGCTCTTATATATTCTGGCAAAAAGTGTTGCTTTTTTGGTTGTCCCTTAAGTTGCCACCAGCTCTTCTCTGCTATACAAACTCCGTATTATACCACAGACAGCGAGAGACAACAAGCTACTCATAAAAAAACCAGAAAAGGAATAGCTTTAACATTTTTAAATAGCTTTAGCATTAGTGTGATGGTGCCGGAAGGGGACAATTATTTGCATTTCTATTTGTAACATGATACCTGAAGGAACTGGATGACAGAGGGCCATTGTTCATTGGCAAGCTACCTTTTTCAAAGCAGTCCTAGTAAGCTGCTAGTTAGTGATGCAGATTCTGATTTAGGATCTCTCTAACACTGATGGTTAGGTGGGAAATGTTTACTAAACTCTGCTAGGGGCAGCGCAACAGCTTCCCTTTGAAGAATGAGAGTCATCAGATGTACTTACTCTGTACTTTATACTCTGTGACACACTTGTACTTTATACTCTGTGACTCACTTGTACTTTATACTCTGTGACACACTTGCAGGTGTCACAAATATAAGGATACATCATTTTAAGACAGGAAAAGTCTTTTGCATTTGGCATCTTCAAAACAAGATTCTCTCAGCTTGTTGTTATGAAAGCAGGTTGGATTCTGGTTGGAATTATATCAAAAGGGAGTTTTCCTTGGCAGCATGTTAAATATTGCATTTGCATAACTTCTTGAGAACAGTAGTTGTGCCATTTCCATCAAGATCAGAAGTGCTCATGAAAGATAAATGATATAAATATAAAGATATAAATGCAGCTAATGTTGATTTGATATGGATTCTTGATTAGAGGGGATTTTTTCCTGGGACCTTGTTCATTGGCTCCTTCAGAACTCAGATGGATTGAAACCTTAGATCTGTATGATTTTTTTCTCTGTTTTCTGTGGTCCTGGTTCTGGGAGTGTGGCCTTAGTTGCTCTCTGTGGCTTGTCTGGTCCCACCATGTGGTAGTCTTCTCCTCCATTTCCCCTTTTTCATGAATGCTGATTAGCTAAATTAAAACAAAGGAGGGTTATGGCCTGCCTCCTGTAATAGGAGCTTCTGTTCCTAGCAGGCTTGGCTTTTTCTTTCTTATGGACAAAATGCAATGGTCTTTTACATCCATGAGCTCTTAGGTCTGTGGGGAGTCCAGCTGGAATATCTGTAGTGATGGTTATCCTAGATATGGTTACCACATGACATTCTAGGTTGTATGTGCTATGGATAGAGTTCAGAATCTGTTCTAGGAACACAGGCTTTGCTAAAATGGCACCTGCTGGATAGCTGAATGCTCAGGTATGTTGTGCCTTCTCCAAAGCCAGGACTTTTGGCCCTATTGCAGGTATCAAACCTCTGCTTTGTTTCAGATGGGCTATATGAAGGTGACGAAGCTGTGCTGAGTGACTTGTGAATTTTCTTCAGGGCAAGCAGGGGGATCAAGATCAATAAGAACTGCCTGATGTCTCTGGAGAGCCCACTAACTCAGTTAGCATTCTTGCCTGCAGTGCAGAAGGAGATGGTGTGGCCTCCAGCCCCTCTCCGATTACGCTAACTAGGCAGCACAGAGGGTGAATGGCCCATCTTGGCATCAGCTCTCTGAGCCCTGAGGAGCGGAGGCCAGGGCCTCAGAGAATCCAAAAAGCTTTCATTCTGCTTCTGCATGTAGCAATGGGAGCCTCCACAGGGACTAGCTGCATACGCCTGGTCAGCATTTCCTGCAGTAATCATGAAGGAGCAATAGAGGCATTTTCTGTTCTTGTGGTTAAAGCAGTAATGTAAAAATGGGCTGCCTCTGAAAACATAAGGCAAACAGACATTGTACAGGAGTGCAGCGAATCCCTTGGGGGGCACGGGAGAGCCTGACTGTGCTCAGTAGTTAGACAGAAAAGTCCCTGTAAAGAGAAGAGCTGACCTCTGGAGAGCTCTGGGCTTCAAACTGTGACTGGCACAAGGGGGCAGAGGTCTGCCACAAGAAGCCTGAAGCCACCCAGAACACTGCTTTGGAAGAGAGTGGAGGCAGAACAGGCCCATTAAGATTCTGAAGGAGTGCTAAAGCTGAGACCTGTTAAGGCTGAGGTCCTGTTGAGCCAGTGCAGTGTAGTGGTCAAAGGATCAGGCTAACATCTGGAAGAGCCACGTTTGAATCTCCACTCTGCCATGGCAGTCTTTCTAGGTGACCTGGGGCCAGTCACACACTCTCAAGGTTGTTGTGAGGATAAAATTGAGAAGGTTGTTGTGAGGATAAATTGATGTAAGTCACTTTGAGTCCCCACTGAGGGGACAAAGGATATCAACGGAATTTTTTAAAAAAAATTGGGTTTGACAGTGCAGGAATACTGGCAGTTAAACCGTATAGTGGGAAGACTTCTCTTAGTAAGGCTCTGTGCTACTTGCTTGCGAACAGATTCAAGGAACGGGTTTCTCCAGCTGCACCTCCATTCAAACGGGTGCCTCTGTTTCATTTCCATAGCAGAGACTATCATGCTGTCTACGTCTTTCCCCTTCTCTTTGGCATGATGTCCAGAGCCATAAGGAAGCTTCTTTGGAACACTGATGCAGCCTTTTATGCTTGGTTTTGGTCTCTCTCAGTCACATGAAGGCTGCTTCTTTCCATTTTGCAGGTACTTGGCACGGTTCCAGGACTTGGAGGCCACCGACACAGAGAATGCGGCTCTGAATTATGGGGTGGTTGTTGACTGTGGGAGCAGCGGGTCCCGGGTCTTTGTGTATTTTTGGCCACCACACAATGGCAATCCTCATGAGTTGCTGGACATCCGGCAGATGCGCGATCACAGCAGCCAGCCTGTTGTCAAGAAGATCAAGCCAGGTTTGCATCTTCCCTGCTGTCTTCTTGTTAATGGATGTGGGTCTCTGGAAAGTAGACTGGAGAGCTTCTGTTGTAGGATCTTATGTACGGTGACAGCCGCACAACCAAATTCCTTTTCTTGTGTAGGGATCTCTACAGTAGCAACAACTCCAGACAAAGCCAGTGATTATATGAGGCCGCTGCTCAGCTTTGCTGCTGCCCACATACCCAGGACCAAGCACAAGGA